TTTTTGAAGTTTTTGAATTTGTTCAGCTTTTGGGCAAATTGACTGCACAGAAGAAGAGGTGGCCAAAAAATGGAAGGGTGCCTTTGGATCAAGTTTTGGCTCCGCTCAAATTGAGTTAACCGTTTGATGTTTGCCTAATAGATATATCAATACAACTTTTTTTTAAATATAACAATTTCAGAGCATCTTTACTTTTCTATTCTTTTCTGGGCGGTTATTTTACACCATAAAACTTGAGGAATAGCTAAGCTGAAATGGGTTTTTTTGAAAACGACCTCTCCCTTTGTGCAGTCAATTTCCCAAAAAGTTGAATGAATTCAAAAACTTTTTTATTCCAAAATGTAGAGGAGATCTTCAGCTTTCGAATGATATATAACCCTCATATACATCTGTTCGATATCTTGAGAAATTTACAAAATAGTAAAAACGCGCATTCATAACTGGACAACCCAATGCAAAAGGTTTATAAATGACAAATACACCAATTGATCTACAATTGGTCAAAGGCTTACTATTTTTATTATACTATTAGTATTACTATCTTTTCATTAGAAAGGCCTACTATTTTTCTTTATAATAACGTTCGAATTTTATGAAAATATTTTGCCTACAGTTTTTTATGGGAGCGCGAAATCGGGTTTTCAAAAAAGGCGACAAACCGAAGATGCAATTTAGGCGCTTTGGTCCACAGAAACCTATGTTACTGTTAATATATAAAAGATAAAGCGCAAAAGGTTAGGTATATAGTCGAATTTTCAGGATAATCTGTTCAGCCGGTTTCTTTGTAGAGCTTTTTAACGAATTTGATGAAAAACGAGTTTTTGCACTCGAATTTTGCTTGGAAAAGGACCTAAATTGTTTTGAAAAGCTAGAAAAATGAATAATAAACATTTTCTATGTAGAGCCAATTGTAGAACAATTGATGAATTTTTCATTTATAAACGCTAGTAGGAAAAAGTGTCTAAAAACTTCTCGACCAACCTAATAGTTAAGGTCAAAGCTAGATTACAGGTAGCCATTCCCGGAATTCTGTTCTATCTGCCCGCTTTGATTGGAATGTTTTACGTTCAAGTGCATCGAACCGGTGTGGCTTCCAATTCATTGGTGCCTTGTAAGTTAAAAAGTTTTGTGAGAACTATACAGGGTGTCCAATAAAAAAACGTTTCCAAATCGGAATTTCTCCGAATTTCTAGTAGCTAGAAGTGATGCGGTGTCATAGTAAATCATTTGTGCTCTAAAATTTTTCATATTTTTTCATGAAAACACCATCACTCAATTAGGATCTCATGAGATTATGGGTGCCACCATGGTCACCACCATGAGACCATCAATAGGGTAAAATTTTTCCCATAAATCGGAGACTTTCTACTTGCATTGTGGTGTTATATTAGAGCTAATATGTAAACTAGACATGGGCAGCGGGTCGGGTCGGATCGGGTCGGGTCAAAAGTGACCCGCTGACCCGAACCGCAACCCGGCTTTGTTGGACTAATGCCAACTATCTTTTCTAAACTGCGATGAACATGGACACTATAAACTACAAAAATGACGAACTGTCACACTACAAACACTTCTAACTGGCTTCAAATCTGTAGAGTTTGGCCAACTTCGCTGGAGACTCGTTATGGGTATCGCTCGGCTCTGAAGATAGCTGCTACAGAGTTACACATCGAAAAAGGATCGGATTCAAGCAGTGATTTTTCTAATAGCACTAGTGAATTTGTTTCCTATGGATCGGATTGTAGTTATTCGAGCAGTTATTGATAAGTAATTTGTTGTTGTTAATTTTTGTTTGCCTATTTCATTGTTGCGTTTGAATAAATACCTATGTTAATAACATTTCTTGAAAAACATTTGGTAAATTTGCATTGATATTTTGACCCGAACCGGCAAAAATTTTGAGCTTGACCCGACCCGCTGATCCGACCCGCTGATCGGACCCGCTGACCCGACCCGCTGATCCGACCCGCTGATCCGACCCGCTGACCCGACCCGCTGACCCGACCCGGCCGCCAAAACTCGAAAATGGACATGTCTGTAAACTAAGATTATTAATCAAACAGTTTCTTGATTAAAATTTCCTTGGAAAAACTAAACCTCTCTTTAGAGACGGTGAGTTGAAAGGGTCTTATGCATGAGAGGTTAGTGCATGTTCCAGACTAAGAATCTGTTTATCTAATAAAATAAAATAAAGATCTAATATAACACCACAATGCAAGTAGAAAGTCTCCGATTTGTGGGAAAAATTTTACCCCATTGATGGTCTCATGGTGGTGACCATGGTGGCACCCATAATCTCATGATATTCCTATCGAGTGATAGTGTTTTCGTGAAAAAATATGAAAAATTTTAGAGCACAAATGATTTATTATGATACCACAGAGACCACTTCCAATTCTAATTCAGAAATTCTGAGAAATTCCGGTTTGAAAACGTTTTTTATTGGACACCCTGTAGGTCACTCCATTTTTTTCACCTTCTCACAAATTTAATGATATTTAGCTGCAAGTTCAAGAAAAAACGTGACTACAACAAATCATATCATTTTCATTTAGTGATAGCCCACATTTTATTGGGTCTTTTCTGTTTGCACACTTTTTTAAGTACAACTTCGATTTTGTGGATGATTAAACCATATCGAATTGCGACTTTGCGATTACTTCGACGATTCAAAATTATCAGGTTTACATATGGAATTGACAGAAAGAGTTAAAAGTTTCAGCTCAAAGCATCATTTCATTAACCCAGTTGGCAATCAAAGCAACCCAACTTCGTCATTTTGAGGTAAATTGTAGAAAAATCATTATGAAGTTATTAGCACTGTATTATGCGGTGCTCGATGCTTAAACACTACCAAGTTTAAACGATTTTGTGTACTTTGAAGAAGTCCCCATTTGCTTGTTTTTTTGTTTTTTTAGCCGATGAGCACAGACTTTCACACTGATCACAAGGTAGAAAAGAAATATTACGTTTTTTGAATAGAACTTAGTCGGACCAGTGCTTTATTTCTTCGTAAGCAAAAGAAAATCGAAGGAAGGGCCAAATGATTACAGCAAGACCCTTGAAAAGTCATTGATTTCCTGATAATAAACTTTTTTTTGCGATTTTGAACAGTTTGATGATGACTTTGAAGAAAGTTATAAATGTTTTAACGTGAAAGAATGGTGTTAATTGGAAAGAATGGTACAAACTTTCATTCGCATTCTAGTCGCATAACTTTAAACTTTGAATAAAAACCATTTAGACGCTTTCTGAAAAGTTTATTTTTAAAAGAGCAAAACTTCATTGTACTCACACTTCAAAACTTGCAAGGTACATTTTTCGTTCGCAAAGAACTCTCGAAGAAGCAAGCTGATAACTTTTATGAGGCCATAAAGGAGAATTCTGCATTCTTTCAATTCGCTTTAACGAGGAATCTTTGCATTGTTCATTCTTTGCTGATATTTTTTGTCAATAATGTCATTCTCGTCAGTGCTAGCGAGGCTTTTACTAACTACTGTAGTAGCAGCTCAATATTCCGATGATTTCGCAAGAAATGTGAATACCATTTGAAAGAAGTAAACACTAAATTTAGTCAATGTGGCCGTTAGCGGCTGGTGCTTACAACACAAATCCACAAAGTTGCATCACTAGTGGAACGAGTGATGGAAAGGTTTGACTATCAACGACTATCATTGGGAGGTTTCTGTGCCTAATTATTCTTTCAATATGTATCTAAGTCTTTGTTTTTACAGAAAAAAAGTCTACAGGGTGACCAATAAGTCTGGAAACCGCAGTCATCTTTCTTCAGACCAGTCATTGCATGTCTTTATATATCTTTTTTTTCTTGATTTTCTTTCATTTTTTATTTTTTATGAGTGTACCTTCAAGTTAACAAGACCAAAGTGTTTGTTTTTAGAATGGTTCGAGCTTCTCCACACTGACAATCGATCTAATACAATCCTCATCGATTTCTTCAAGAGAGGCAACTCGGCGAGTGTGATTCAGTAGCGTCTCAAAGTCCCCAAAAGCTTAGTTTCAAAAACAATTCAAAGACCTTGGATCGATCGATCGAGTTTGGGCAAAATCTCAGCCTAATGTGACCGTTTCTCATTTCTCATTCAGCATCGATAATGGTTTTCGCGGAGATATCCACAGGAAAGATCTTTAATCTTTGCTCCACAAGGGGCCCGAGTGAACGCGGACAACTATTTGGAACTATTTAAAGTGAACGCGGATAACTCTTTCAAAAACCGAAGTCGTTCCTTGGGCTCGAAAGCATTTAAAACAAGAATTTGGAAAAACAAACAGAATTTGGACCTACCAGCAAGACGGAGCTCCGGCTCACAAGGCCAAAGGGTCCAAAATTTTTGTCAGCCAAACTTGCCCGACTGCATATCTTTTTCTGCTCACCCAACGGCCCAATCCAGTGGCTTATTCGGTTTGGTTAGTTCTCAAGACTAAGGCATGCAAAAAAACCTCACAAAAGCGTCGATAGCTTGAAGAAAGTGCTCCTCAAAGCTTGGGATTAACTGGATACATCTTACTTGCTTGATGGACACGTTTCCCAAGCGTTTAAAGCTTTGATCCGATGCCAATGGCAACAAATTCAAATCTAATTGTTAGAATTTGTTTGTTGATTGTTAATAAAGTTTTAAAATGGGTTTGGAGATCAGAAATAGAACTTGTAGCTTTCTCTAGAGATATTTAACTGTTTCCATGCTGATTGGTCACCCTGTATTACATTATTATTATTATTATTACATTATTACATGATTACTATTGTATTATTTACATTTAGCTTTCCGATTGAAACACGGGTTTTGAGTAGGGAAATGAAAAAACATTGCAGCTCTTTTGGTACAGCTCTTTTAGTTGAAAAGAAAAGTCGAAGTACAGTGTGATATTTTGAATGAGACATGCTCAGCCTATACAGCTTCGTCTGAAACGCACAAAGCTGTGATTTTGGTTTGGAGGTTTGAATGTTATGTTGAATATAATAAATAACTTCCAGAGGATCAATGGGAGATTATGAGGTGCCAATGGAAGTCATTGATATTCTATTCGGGAAACAGGTTTGACAATATTTCTTTTAATAAGCTGTGACGTTAAGTATGAAAAGGCTCAAAAACCAATCCATACTTCAGCTAACTTTTCCTGGTGGAGCTAAAGTGGCCGATTTCTTCTACAATGCCTTTCTAAAACTCTGGAACAGTGGGGTCAAGGATGACTTTTAACTTTGAGACAACAATATCCAGATTATGATGTTTGGGTGAGTTTATTTGCTCTAGGCTCAGGCTTATAGCTTCTTGAAATATTAGTGACTATGATTTCAGGTAACTGGTCACTCGCTTGGAGCAGCAATGGCCGGATTAGCAGCCGGTTATGTGGTTCAAATGGGATACGTGCCAAAAGAGAAGGTCCGCAACTTAAATTAGAGATAATGAAGCCCTTTTCAGATCAGATTGATCACTTATGGAGAGCCAAGAACGGGCGATTCACAATATGCTGATTTAATCGATCAGGTTTTGTCTTCCACTCACCATTTAGCCAATCAATCCTCAGATCCCGTATCGTTTTCGAGTCGTGCACAATCATGACTGGGTCCCCATTTGCCGTTCACCGTTGAGAACTATCAACATCATAGCACAGAGGTTAGCGAGTGACAGGTTGAAAATGAAATCACCAGTTGACTTCAAGTCTGACCTTTGAAATCAGGGAGCTCTGATAACTGAACAACACTAGTTCTTTACCCAAAAACTTTTGTAAATTTTGAGACTTAGTTTTAGCCACTTATTTTGCTTATTTTGCCACAGGGTGATCAAAAGTTGCCGCATCAAAAGATCAAAGTTCATTACAAAAGAAGCTCGATTTATCAGCTCTATCAGCTCGATAAACCCAGATCGAAATTCGACTTACTCCATAGTATTTTGAAGCTGAAATCCTGAGGAACATTTCTACGCCTAAATCGTCCTGATCAGAGTCGTTTCTTTGATTGAATTTCAATGTTTTATTACTTCTTGTATATGTTCATGTTTTGGGCAATTGTAATCAGAATCTCACTGTGGTTCGGCCGGGAATTCCCGATGCGCGCACTTTGAATAATTATCCGAACTTTTAGGAAACAGTTACCTTTGTTTAATAATGTTTTTTCTAGAGCAAGAATCTCATAATATACTATCAAAAAAGAATTATATGATTTGAGGCATCGAGAACTGAGTTAGGGTCAATAAATCGATAAAGTTAGCATAATTCTGCACTCTGTCTGTACATACATAGATCCTTTCAGATCTGGTATCAAAACAACATGACCGCTGGCTTGCCCTACAAGACTTGCGAAGGTGATGAAGACAAGTGAGTTTTTGAGGAAGAATACGTAAGCAACGAGTAGCACGTTTTGAGAACAAATCTACAGGTCATGCTCAGCCGGTATTCCCATCTACGAGATTAACACCTTTGCCCACACCACCTATTTCGACATCGACGTCGGGATTTTCACGAGAAGAGACTGTCATTATTGGAAATAAAGATCAGAATTGATTTTTAAAACACAATAAAGATACAAACGTTTATCTTTTGAAAAACTTAAAGGAGTCAAAGTTTTTCAAACAAGTTCACAAGAACTAACACACAAACAGATGCTTTAAACAAATCCACAGGTTTAATTTCTCTTAGGCTATTAGGAAGAGCATTTCACAATGTTGCAAAAAAGTTTTTTGAAGAAATCTCCTGAGATTTTAGAGTATTAGAACCGTATTAGAACCGTATTGGACTAAATCGAAACCGAATTGGCACCGAATTAGAACCTTATTGGAACCAAATCGGAGCCGTATTGGAACCAAATTAGAAGAAGAGGATTGAGACTTCAAGAGAAAATCCCCTTTTGGAGGCCTTTCAAAATAATTGTCAAAAAGATGATCTCTATAAGTGCTTTAACTATCATAAAGGCATTTTTCAAGCTCGATCAAATAGTACAAATCTTTTTGAGAAAGTTGGTTTTGTAGGGATCAAGACAAGAACTTTCGTTTACTTTCTGATCGGATTTGAGCATGTATACGATCGATAATAACTAGTGAAGAAGAATATCCCTACTCTTATACCATTGTTCTTTGTCCGAATTGATTTGTTGTAAAAAATGTTGTTTGATAATTAGGCTCTTGTGCAATTTTCGGGACTTTTAATGTTTCTCAGCTTTTTTTTCTATGAGCTTGTATGTTTGAGGTTTTTGAGTTTATAAAAATACTTTATTATTAACAAAATATCACACTCAAAACTCACACTCACGCTTTTTGAAAGGGTACAAATTGACGAACGAGTGATTAATTGATAGACGCAACTCCCAATACTCGCCAATAGTTTTTCTAGTCAAAGAAAATTGTGCTGCAACAGTTTCTTGTTTATCCTGAGAATGAGAAGCTCAATGTTCGAGGAGCCGGAGTTTTTTTGGGATAAAAGCATATTGGTCTTCAAACATATCGCTTCAAATATTAGCTTTAGAAGGAGAACACTTAGGGTTTCTCCAAGTGCTCCATCTGCTTTGCTCGAATCCTTAATAAGAGTCATTCTTTGAATCCCATCACTGCAATTGCGCTCGAAAGAGTAACAAGCAGAAAATTGAATTGCACCGTCGTTTTCTTCCTCTGACACTTCTCCAAAAATTGTGGCTCGGGTAGCTTCCGTCATCTTAGTCGAATAATCGTTGATAAGATCGATTGCAGGTTGAGGCTCAATTCCTTGTGGTAGAATGGTTAACCTTAATACACAACCAGCACGAATAGCAAATAAAATAGAACAAAAAATAAAAATGCCAAGAAATCACATTTTTTGACGCTATGTATTAACACCAATAACAGGCCTAAACGGCTTAACGCTTTTATCTGTACACTTATCTTATCTGCTTTGCTATAGGCATTAAAGAGAGAATCAGAAGTATAGAGAAATGCCAACAGTGTAACCGTCAGTCAAAATAAATTGGCTTTGTTAACCATAGATTCATAGAAAATTAAGTAAAACATTCAAAAGGCCCGGAAATTACACAAGAGCCGATAATTCAATTGTTTTCGTTTAAATCATTGAGAAATCAGTTTATTTAGTTAGAGACAATCTTTAATTTTGAATAGGTCACAAGCCTAGGTGGAGAAGTTAACGTGGAGTTTCAAAAATTTCGAGAAACTTCCAATTTAACGTGAAATGGAATATGGTAGCAACAATTTGACTAGAGGATTAAATCTACAGATAGAAAAAGAGAAATAGAGATAGAGAATAGAGAAAGTTTTATAGAGAAACTACAGTTTTGTGTAAATTTTAGTCGGTCAACTAGAATATTTTCGTAAAATTTTGACTAATCTCCACATTTGCCGATCAAAGAAGGGAATAGAACTGTTCGGTCATACTATAAATAGTCAGATAAATCGTTTTTATGCTTTCTCGAAAAGATTCTTGGCGAAGAAAAGCAACATCGAGTCGGGATCAAGTAGAAGCAAATGATTATTTGACGGAATTTCCCAAACAGCCGTCTTTGGTGACACCTCTTTGTATTTCTTTGACCATTGTGTGAGTACATTTTGAGTGTCGCTGAGTCGAACGGTCAAATCACTTTCTGAGATCGTTTTGAGTAAAGCGTCCTGAAAATCAGAACTGGTTTTGTAGTGAAAAGTTTTCTTAAAATGGGCTCGTATTTTCATCATCGGACACTCGTGCTGGCTTGGGATTCCGGCGAAAATCAGCTCTTTAAGGTGTTCTGTTGGATTCGAATATCTGAGTTTGTCAAAGGTGATTCGTTCAACTTTCGTCTCGTCGAACAATCTAAAAGAAGGTTGTGGGACATTTGATACGCGCCCCGTCCCTTTTCCCATTAGCAATCTAACTTTGAGCTCAAATATCTTGATGTTGGGCTGTCTGATTTAAATATTCTTAATATCATTGGATGCGCCAAGTCTTTCTCTGTCGATTGGTACAAAAACGATTTAAATTTAATAGCCCAACACCAAGATATTTGAGCTCAAAGTTAGATTGGCAAAAGGGGCGCGGCCAGCAAGACCTTTTATACGCGCCCCGCCCCCTTTGCCATTGGCAATTCAACTTTGAGCTCAAACATCTTGGTGTTGGGTTGTCCAATTTAAACGGTTTTTGTACCAATCGACAGAGAAAGGCTTGGTGCATCTAGTGATGCCAAGAAGATTTGAATTGAACAGCCCAACACCAAGATATTTGAGCTCAAAGTTAGATTGCCAATGGCAAAGGGGGTGGGGCGCGTATCAAACGTCCCACAATTCTAAAATTACATTGAAAATATAAAGTGGTGCAAGAGTCTAACCTTTCGACGTCTTCAATCGGATCCCGAACGAGGACTTTTTTGCAACTCTCGAGCATTGGTCGAATCTTCGCTTTGATCAGCCGCATCTCGGTCCCGGTGACCTTCCTTTGATCGACCATTTGGATCACTATCAAACCCGTGACTTCTGGATGGAAAATGCTGAGACTCTCGAGGAGAAGGGGAATCGCAAAATGACAAATGATTTCCGGATGGAATTCGTCCACAATTCGCAACCTCAATGGGAAACTTTGAATAAAAAATTCTTTTTCCTCATCGCTGGCTTTCCATTTGGCTGCTGCGTACGCTGTTTCACCCATGCAGGGACGATAGAGCTATAATCGAAAAAAATAACTTTATTTGCAATAAACATTTGATAGTTCTATTGATTAGGTTTTTACATAAAAACCGGTCATTTCTTCAGTCACCCGTAAAGTAAGTTAAATGTATGAATTAGCCTAAAGGAATCTTTTTGGAATCTAAACCGTATATAAGGAATCTTTTTTGAAATGGTCTTGTTTAATAAAAAGTGCCTCATTAAAAAGTTGAAAAATGACAGTTTTTTGTTTTGCTTTTTAAGGTACTCAAATTTTTAGAGAACTTTGTTAATACGCTTAAATGATGTAAAAACGTTTCTATTTTATTTTTGCTTTTGGGTGTTTGTCAAAATAATGCTTCGAAAAAAGATATAAGCAAAAAAGCACCAGCCAGTGCTTATGTACTTATGTATGTTTTGTTGAGAGAATTAAAACCTAAAATTTGCCTAAAATGAATGCAAGATTTTAGTCAAACACTTTATTTGGCCTACTTTTGTGTAACAACCGAATGTAAATACAATTTAAGAAAAAAGTTGACAACAATTGCCTTCTGCTTAAGATTCTATTTTAACAAGGCAACAGATAAATGAATTGAAAGTGGGTGAACTAAAGATAAAACTGACTTCTCGTTTGTTATTCCATCCACGTAATCTCAGTATTTTGCAAGAATGAATCGTGGAAAACAGCTTGAAAAGTGTTCTTTGCCGATCGCATGTATAGGAATTCAAGAGATCTATTTCGAAGCCCCGATCCGAACTCTCGGCTATCTCCCAGAAGGGAAATTTGTATTTAAAGCAGATCTCTTCACATTCTTTGAAGCTAACAGTGAAATCCCAGAATTGATATTTTGGTTTATCGCCGTCTTGTTTGTAGTTGCTGCGACGAAACCGGGCCATTTCGTCATCGATTAAACCGAAATCGATAGAACAAACGAGTTCTCGAATGTTCTTCTTATAGAAAGGTCCACAATAGAGAGTGTGTTGACGAAAGATTCTATTCGTTTTGAGAAACTTGAAACCGTCGCTGACTCCGGTTTTCCGTAATACCAACTCCTTGATTTCGGTGGGTTGCCAAGCAAATGGATAAGGTGATACAGGGCTAACCTAGATAAATTATCTCTTATTTTGATACGCGATTGACTCTCGATTCAACGATTTGCAAGGGACCGAAAATTTCGATTTAAAAATACCAAGAGATGCTCTAAATTCTAGCAATAGCAACCCCAAATGACTGCGTCTGACTCGGCAGCCACGTAGAAATTTGGAGTTTCTTGGAATTTGGAGATTCTTGGCATTTCAAAATTGTTAAATCGAGAGTTGACTGTACAATCAAACTCAAAGCTCGTACGGTTTTAACACTTCTTACAAAATGTTTCAAAATGATTTAGAGATCTTTATTCGTGACTTTGATGTTTGCCATATACACTACTGGACAATAAAATATCATATTTGAAAAACGATCGTCACTTTCACGCGTCTATAACTCCCTTGTCTTTACCGTAATATTAATATTACCATTGTGTAGCCCATTGTGGGTGCAAAACGCGTATCATTTGACGAAGTCTGCTAGAATTTTTAGAGATTTCTTTGATTTTCGGCGTCATTGCATTCTCTCCAACCTAATACTATGTAGTACTAGCACTAAATCGTTAAGTAAATAACAAATGTATTGGGTTGGGGAGAATGAGTCGGCGCCAAACTTTAAAGGGACTTTTTGCACACATAAAGCCTTCTTTAAACATACGTTTGGTTTCATCAAAAGGATCCACCATTTCTCTACTAAATGACTTTTGAGAGATTCCACAAAGCTTTTCTTTCGTGGAGTTTATGAACTTCCAAACGCAGCTGGTTAAAATGGCAAAGAGTCCGACTCATCATTTGAACAGTTTCTTTCACATAAACCTTCTTTGGTGTGTATATAAAAAAGATAGAGCACATTCAATTACTTAAGTTGCCAAATTTGCAGGAAGATCCCACCAATAGTTTTTTCTAGATGACAGTTTGTAGTTTTTGTGAAAAAATGGCTTTTTCTTGAGCGGAGGCGCTGTTTGAATTTTCTTTTAAATGTCATTTTGTAGAGAATTAGTTAACCATTCTACTGATATCAAACGCATATTATTTGACGAAGTCGAATAGAAGTTTTAGACATTTTTTTGATTTTCGGCGCCGACTCATTCTCCCCAACCCAATAAATCATTTTCCAATACTGTAATTGCTTTTATAAACTCCATCGTTGAAGAGTTAAATAAAATCAAGAACCAACCTTTTCCTTTTGTCGATTATTCTTTTTAGTGGGGATCATTATTTTTGAAAACAATTTCTTCAAACCAGATTTTTCTTTAGATCCTTGATCTTCCATTTTAGCGAATCAGAAATCAATTAAGGGAAATGACTATAAACAGAGTTCTCAAACTGCTTATCTTATCTGAAAATCAAAGAGAACTACTCTGAGGTCATGTGAATTTCGAATTAGAATTTGACTGGCATTCCGTGTCGACTCATCATTTCATTTATTCGACAAAATGGCTGCAAAGTCAAGTAAAACTTGAGCTTTTTCACTAAATCGTTCATAATAATTTCATTGTTAAAACTAGAAATGACTTAGGTAGACTTAAAGGTTTCACTTTTCGCGCTAATTCAGTCATTAACCTTCATTTTGAGCCTCTTCAACATGTACTATTGGCTTTTAAAGATTGCGGTAATTGAATTCAACTTTTAGCAACTTGAAACAAAAACACAATGTCCACTTAAGCCGAAGGACTAGGGAATACACTTACCTTTATCACAATGCCATTCATCCATCCATCCACAGTACCATTCTTTCTCACAAACATGGGCTTTCAAGTTAATGACGAGAATAGCCAAGAAAAGTAGTCAAAATCCTCATTTTTTCTCATGAATACGTGTGCTGATAAAGAAATTCTGAATCCTTTTCTTTATAAAGTCTATTTTTAAATTCTTTTAGTGAATTTAAAAGTCAATAAAGTCTAAAAAAATTTCGTTTTTTTTGTTTTCTTTTATTGAGGAATTGAGGAAAAGAATTTGATAATTCTCAAAAGTCACAAACAGAATTGAAATTAATCGGCAATTTTTGAAAATTTTGAAATCAAATACATTTATCGTTTCGAAAATTTGATACAGAACATCTAAAATCGTTGTGATTTCAAATTCTGTTTGTATTTCTCGAAAATTTTTATTTGAAGGCCGGCAAAAAATCAAAAATGCGCAACCTTTGCAAAATAATGCAAACAAAGGGTCATTGACTATATATTTTGACTGTCTTGGGTCAACAACGGGTATTAATACCATTAGGGTGGTGAGAATGAAACCAGCGCTCACATATCTTTCCAAGATTGAAAGCTTCAACCAATAAGTGTTGTATACTGTTCGAAAGTCCTGAATCACCTCTACAAAATAGTGCAAAGGATTTTGAATTGAATTGATTATTGAAGACTTGGGCGACTTTTAAGTTGAGGGGTCACAAATGATCATTTTCTGGAGAATGTGTTTCTGGTAATAGCTGGTAATAGCCATGCCCGGGTTTTCCGTGAGAAAATACCGCCAACTAAAGTTATATGAAAATAGCATAAAGGAACTCTTTTTGTTTCGTCGTCTTCTAGAGCTTATGTTTTTCAAAAAAGCTTCATTTTGGGCCATTTTAGGCCTTCGATTTTAGGCCAACATCATCTGTGTTCCTTAAGCCTGTTAACTCGTTTGGTTTCATGAGTTCTTGCTGCCCCTACGGACCGAAATCCTTGCGATGAATCCAAAAATTCACAGCGGCTCCCTTCAGCACCCTGTTATAGGCACTTGGGATCCCATTCCGACCGACGGAGAACCCGCCATAGTGGTCAAAATGAGCCGGAACCGGGTTCACCAATTCTACCGCCGGGTTAGTTTTGGGAAGCGGTGACCACATGGCGCAGACAACGGATTGGTTACCGGATGACGCAAACTGGACGCTTCCGATTGGAAAAGTGAAAAGGGACTATATGGCCAGTCGTGCTATGCCAGATCGAGCGCGATTGTGTTCGCACAAAGGGAACACACAGCGATTCTCTTTTCTGCATTTTAAAGTTCAAAAACTTCAAATTTTTGAACAGAGAAATTGTACCCGGGGTTTTCGGGGTTGGGGAATCGATTCACAGTGTTAGTTTTAAGGTTTTCCTTGTCCCAAATCAATTATTTCAATACATTTCCCATTGAAGGATGCTTCTAACTTCTCAAGCAATATCTCATCTTTTCTTTGTAGCTGATGTTTTCCAAATAAGACTTTTTCAAACACCTCTCGAAAAGCTTTTCAGCAGAAAAGCTAAACAACAGCTTTTCCAAGAGCTCTTTTCGTGAATCGAGTTTCTCAAATCTTACACCATATATTAGGTTGAACACTCTCGGTAACAGTTCTTCATGCCACTTTTTAGAAACAAGCAATGTACTAATTAAATTACGGTTTTTTTATTCAAAAGGCGAAAAGCTTAAAAGTAGTTGTCAGAGTGGAAAAAGCTTCGTTTTTGGGGTTTTTTAGATGTCAATAAGTTGAGGAAATGAAAATGAAGAAAGCTAGATAGTGCGATTGGACCACTTTCTTCCACAGAAACCTATTTCGATGTTTATAGATGAAAGATAGAGTATAAAAAGCTAGGTAAGTATTCAAATTTTCAGACAAATCTGTTCAGCGTTTTTCCCTGTATGTCATTTTTAAGAATTTGTGAAAAAATGCGGATTCCGCGCAAAGGCGCTTCAGAGTGGACCAAGTTTTGTTTAAAAAGGATAGGAAACTAGAAAATAAAGAACTTTTATTCAAAGGGAATTGTGAGTGAGTCAGTGCATTGGCCACTTTTCAACGAAAATATGCTTTACTATTTTGCTTTTTTGGGCCAGGATTGATTTTCTTAATATGAATTTCAGACCTTCAAAGCTGGCCAATTTGCACTGAAAACTTTTTTCCGTTACAATAGCTATCGGACTTTCCAAGGGGTAGCGTAAAAGTTCAGGTGGTTTGGGTGGTTCAAGTTTAAACAGGTGGTTTATTTTTAGATCCAACGCTTTATCTTGGTCTAATTAGGCCCATTTTAGTGTCATTCTATGGGAAATCGTACAACCCAACTAACGACACTAAAATCAACTTCATACGACACAGTTATGGGCCTAAAAATAAACCACTTGAACTTTCAAACCGTCTGAACTTGACCTTTATCAACCATCTGAATTTTAACCAACCAAGAGTCATGAACCCGAACTACCTTAACTTGATTTATTGCTTATCAGAAAAAGTGTATTGGAACTTGTCCCTGTCCAAATATAGCTTTAAACAAGTGCTACGATTTCGTTCAGCTCTAATGTTATGCGAGATGAGCTGGTGAAGTTCTCAATCTAGTTTATCCATGGTTTAATTCCCCAAGTTCTTTTGTAAACAAAATCATTTAGAGTTTATTTGACAAACAGCTGGAAATTTGTGACTGGTCAGTGTGAGGTAAAGATCGGGATTTTCCGCTCCACTATTAACGTTCATAATGAGAGCAATCGAGGGCTCATTCTTGTTAACTAAACTTTGGTTAATTGTATATACTTGTAACTTTGATTAATAGATAAAAAGATTGTATCTAGCTTCAAAAGTAAACTCACACTTTGGCTTATATCCTTTGAAAAAAGTACGGTTTACGAGTTGGACACATGATGGGTCATTTTTCCACATTGGCGTCATATCAAGCTAAAAGTTAAAGTTTCAGTCAAACATTGAGTTAAATACTTTCTTTCCACACATTCAAACCTGTATTTTGATGAATTGGAGGAAGAGATCGTGGTCAGCTCTCGGATTGGTTGAGTATTTTTGAATTGGTTTAACGTAGCATTTTGTCTGTTTGACAATGTTTCTAAATTTGTACTCAAAAATGGGCTTCAAAATTTAAAGTAGTAGATAGTAGAGTAGTTTGCTTTAGGCATGTTTGGGAACATAGTTCCGTCCAGTTGATCTAGTCCAGTCCAGCGATTTGAGATTTCAGTCCGGTGGGCTGACTTGACTGGACTACAAAGCCTGACTTCAGCTAATGGACTGGACTAATCAAGAATTGGCGGGGTAAACCCATATCAATCATTGTACTAGTACTAGTTCTAGTCATTCCCGAAAACCCACTCGCAATCGGTGGAATTCGGCAAGCTAAACCAACAACTTTCCCACGCGTCAGAATAAGCGGTCGCATTTTTCGTGTTCACCCAAAAGAGCGGAACTGAAAAAGTAGTCTAGATTTTTCGATAAACAATCTTACGAGGCAAATCGTTGGTGGCATCAGTTCCATTCAAAAACAAATCCTTTCCAGTCACCGGGTTTGAGATAATTCCTACCCAAGCGACATTAATGTTTTTGCCTTCAACAGTGGCTAAATATTTTGTAATTAAATTAAAAACAGTTTACAAACATAGAAGTCATATTGTTATCAAAATATCACAAACCAATTAATGCTTTCCGAACATCATCGATCGATTGTTTGTTTTTGGGTTGAAAAAGGTGGCCACCAATCCTCTTACAGTGAGTTTCCGCTTCACAAAAGGTTAGATCTAAAGCAAGTTCGTTTTTTCTTTCTCAGAATTGAACTAAGAACCTAGAACTCTAAAACAATCGGTGTTCCTTGTATCAAATGTCCTTGAAAACCCTCCTTGTCAGGATTAAAACAAACTTTTTTTTAACAAAGCGACGCAGAGGTTTTGAGATGGAACAGCGATCGATGAAGGAGGGCAAAGGGCTGATTTTCCATGAAAATAGCTTAAGAAAACTAGCAATATCAGATAGATCATCAGAAAATTGGATTTGCGCGATTTAGTCTATCCAAATGTGCTTTCAAGAGCTTGTTTTTCAACGTGGATGTTTTTAAACCGATCAAGCTTTGTTATTCAAAAATATGGAACATTTGATGATCTTTGTGGTCAATTTGGCTCTTTTTTTCCATTGAAATGTGTGTTTTGCGTTGTCTTTTTTGGTAAAAAATGGGATGTTTTTCCGGATAAAAGCTCGAAATCTAGGCTGAGAATTCGGATTGAAAAATGTGATTTTTATCGAGAGCTGTAATTCTTTGGCAAGTTTTTCATTATTTAAACTATCAATGTGCCAAACTACTAGTTTTCTAGAAAGTGAACTTATCGGTTCAAGAGGTTTTTTTAAAAAATTCAATAATTTTCCTTTAAATGACCTTGTGAAATCGGTTGGAAAACTAAAAAAGATCATTTTCGTGTAGAACAAATCTGGGCTCCGAAAAAAGATATAGAGATTGGTAACAAGTACTTGTATTGGGTTGGTGAATTGAAAACTGCCGGCTATTGTCATATGTCACAGTTTGAGCACTTTCTTCAAAAGAAACCCATTTTGGCGTTAATGGAAAAGTTGTAGAGAATCAAAAATTAAGCTTATATCCAGATTTTCAGAACGATTCAAAAGCTGGTTTTCAAGAAATGCCAAATTTACGAATTTTCACAAAACTTGCATTTTAAGCGAAACTACTAAGTGTATCTTTTTGGAAATTTGGCTATAAGCCTAATTTTTGGTTCTCCACAACTTTTCTATTGACACCAAAGTCGGTTTCTTTTGAAGAAAGTGCTCAAACTGGGACATCTCCAGTCCTCGATTTTTGATTCTCACACTTGTCTCACACACAAACCAAAATCCTACTACGAAAGAGGAATCCCCAAATTGCCTGTAAAATGCGCAGAAGTCGTCAATAATAATGGAAATTATTTGGAATGAATTGATGGTTTTATGTTGAATAAATTTTATTTCAAAGTCCGGCAGTTTTCAATTCAGCAACCCAATAGATAAAATACAATTGTTAAGTAATATTGCTTTTTATATAATGAATATTATACTTCTAAATATATCCATATTTCTATTTTTATCTATGTTTATTTCTCCGATATTTTGTCTTGACTAAAATGGCAAGAAATCCGCCAACTTGTTGTCTCATCGTTCTTGGCCTCTTTCGCTTTAAACTTCTCATTCTTTTATGCATAAAGCTCCCCAGATTCATAAGCGGTTTCTTTTTTATACATAAAATATCTACATTTACCTCAAGCTATTCATGATGATGAAGAAGATCGAATGGTTTTCATGATTTTCAAAGAGAACATTGATAATGGAAATGGAACTGAATATAGAAATAGAAACGGAAATTTAACTCAATTCCTCTCAACTGACAATTAGTTTTTAACCTTTTTATAGCTAACAGAAGAGCTTTTGTTTTGTAGCTTTTGTTTTAGAAATTTCGGGCATCTACAATAATTTTGTGTATAACTTTTTTCCAATAAGAACTGCCAGAATTTGAAATCAACTTCCTAGAGTTTTGAGAGAGTCAAATAGTCTTGAAATCTTGAAAATATCTATAGTCTCTTGATCTATATTTTGATCTTGAAGTTCTAGTGGATTCTTGACTTTATCTGTGCTACCATATATTACATACATCACAGAGTGTGCCATAATTGTCGCAACAAGATGTCGCAAAGTCAATTTCGATAACTACCTGGCTCTTCTCAAGGATGAACTCTTGCCCTGGGCTCGTAAACATTTTGAAAATCGCATTTGGACTTATCATCAAGATGGCGCACCGGCCCACAAATCCAAGAAAGTCCAAGAGTTCTGCCAAAACAACTTCCCGAACTTGATTTCTTTTTCTGAGTGGCCACCTAGCTCTCCAGACCTCAACCCAATGGATTTTTCAGTGTGGTCGGTCCTAGAAGTCAAAGCTTGTTCAAAGCTCCACAAAAACATCTATTTGAAGAAATCACTGTTGGAAGCATGGGAAGAGCTCGATCCAGCCTATTTGGTAGATCCAGCCCACCGTTGACGCCTTCTCGAAACGCCTGCTCAAATCCTCATGGTGGCCGATTCAAATTTGATAGTTGATTTATAATTGTTAATGTACAATAAATGTGATTCAGTTAAAAATGTACCTTTTTTGCTCTTGTCTACCTTAAAATCAGAACTTTATCTTGTTGCGACAATTATGGCGCACCCTGGATGTCGTGCTGCTTTTTATCGGTCCTTTTCGTGTTTATGTGTATGAATTCATGTGTATTAATCTTAAATCTTGCGCACTTTATTTCATGTCTTGAATAAAGTATCTATCTATTTTGTTTGACTGAATAAATGAATTCAAACAGGGCTTTACTTGAGTTTTCAATTGTTTTGTTGTTGATTTTGGATGTATTTATTTGCGAGAAATGATTTGAGGCTTCACTTTAGGGGCATTCATCAAAGCAGGCGCCACACTAAAACATTATTATTTCGGTTAACTAAATTTTACTTACTTTGGCAATTTTGCAAAGGGGTGCATCGATTGGAAGTGTACAACAAGTCTGAAATGTTTTTGGTAAGCTAAAATTTTGAAAACTTTATTCTTTTGCCTTCAATGAATGATTGGTTTCTTAAAATAAGCAAATTACTGCCGATGTATGAACTGACCAGGATTTTGGCAAGAATGGAGTTTTTTATATGCAGATTTTTCATACTAATGTGACTTTTGGAAGCTTTAGCCTTGTTGTAGCTATTGTTAATTTAAAAAAGACAAACTTGTCCATCAGAACATTGATCATCGGTGATACAAGCGTGCGTCGGAGCACCAGTTTGAGCACTCTAAACAGAATAACAAATAATTGACTCACTTTAGCATAAAACAAACTCACCGAGAATCCAAAAAGAACCATTGAGAAGAAGAAAACGAAGAAAAGACCAAAACGCATGTTTTTAATTGATTTCGGTGTATGATTACCGCTGATTTAACTCAAATTCACTTTGCTTTTATACCCAATGAAAGCTTTTGAGATGCACTTTTATCAACATTCTTTAGAAAACGAAAAGGTCATGCTAAACAGAAAATATTTTGTAATATTCTAGCTTTTAAAATACGTAAAAAATATGAAAAAAACACAGGATGACGACAAAATATTTTCAAATTTATCCATTAAATCATTAAAAATATTTTTGAGAGGATATTTTATTGTTTTTGCCTATTGTTCCCATTCAGCTTCCCAATCCATTCATAATCCGAAAAATATTTTCTATTATTAGGTTGGCAACTTAATAATGACGCGTTTATGTAACAAATCATTTATTTCAAAAAAACACAAAAGAAGAGCTTTCAATTCGAAAGGTATTCTCCATTAGTATCTATGACTTCTTCCCATCTTCTGCGCAAATCCCGGATCCCATCCTCGAAGAACTTGGGAGTTTTTGAGGCGAAGTAGTCATTCACTGCTTTTATGACCTGAGCATGATCATCGAACTTTTCTCCCTCCAAAAAGTGCTTCAGCGACCGAAACAAAAAGTAATCTGAAGGAGCCAGATCAGGTGAATAAGACGCGTGGGGCAAAACTTTCCAGCCAAGTTCCTCGATTTTCTTATAAGTGATCTTTGCAGTGTGAGGTTTTGCTTTGTCGTGTAAAAATCTGACTCTCTCCGGTTTGAGCCCCAATTTCTTCAAAGACTCGTTAACTCTCATTAATTGCTTCGAATAAAGATCAGCATCGACGGTTTGGCCAGGTTTCAGCACTTCATAATGCACCAATCCCTTGAAGTACCACCAGCAACAGAGCATTATCTTCTTCCCATGGATATCAGGTTTGGGAGTGGTTTGAGGGGTCTGCCCAGCAGATAGCCATTGATTTTTGCGCTTAACGTTCTCGTAGTTTCGTCAGAAGTCAAAACCCTGTGAAAAAAGTCGTTTGATTTACATTTTTGTAGCAAAATTGAGGCGACATTTTGTTGCTTTGGGTCAGTTCGTGAGGAACCCATTTTCCAACTCGATTCTTTTCCCAAGTTTGTGTAAATAGTTTTTGATTGTCGTATGGGATACTTCAAATATTTCTGCCAACTCACGAACGGTGAGTGTTGGGCAATCTTCAATTAAGGCGAGCAAGTCATCGTCGACCACTTCTGGAGGATGTCCTTGGTGTGGCTCGTCTACGAGGCTTTCATCGCCGCCTTGGAATCTTTGAAACCATCGTTGACATTACCGAATGTGTATACTTTCCTCCCCAAAAACAGTGATGATCGTGCGATGAGATTCAGCTGGTGATTTTCCTTGTTTAAAATCGTAGAACAATGCAGCTCGAATACGGAATTTTTTGTCCTCCATTTTTTGCCAAAAAGCGAATGATGAAATTTGCAGCACTAAATGTTATTTATGCAGATATCTTTTACTTTGTATATATGCAAAAAAGAGGGAAGAAACGGCGCTTGAAATTACAAAAAACATGTTAAGTAGTGACGCGTCATTATTAAGTTGCCAACCTAATAATATAAAGATTTCCTTTTGAGTATACAATGGACAATATTGTAGCCAAAAAGTGCCATCTAATTGCTATCTAAATACACAATAAGTTGACAAACTTTGTTGATTCGCCGTCTAAATTCAAGGATCCATTTTATGATTGTTTAAAAGCCAACGTTGAATGCGACAGTCGATGTCATCATAACAAAAACTGCCCGAAGGAGTCAAATTTTGGTTGATTTGTTGCATTTTGTTATGATTCGAGTAGTTTATTTGCACTTTTTGTTTGTTTGCAGCCATTGCAGCCATATGCCAAGCTGTGCAACCTCGACTAGTCACCGGTTCGACTCCTTCCCTCACCCTTCTTTGTCTTTGTGTATCAATTATTTCTGTGTGTAATTTCGTGAACACTTATTCATATGTGAATAAAGTATGATAATAATCTTAATCGGTTACAACATATATAGATAGTTCTAGGGTTGCAAACTCTTTGCAAACCTACACAAGAACGGACCTTGCTAGCAAGGAAAAAACTGAAAA